CCGGCGTAGCTAAAGCAGTAAAGCGGTCCTAGCGTAAGTGCATCTTACACTGGTACAAAACCGCAGTTTACTGGTCTAGCTGCAGCTACTTTGGGGCTTACTAACGTAGCTAGGCTGGCAGATGTCTGTCGAGCAGACCTGGCCTATAGCTAGGACCCTACCAAATTCACGGCCGTGAAAAAGGTGTCACGGACCATGAAATCTGGTCTCCCCTGTGAAAGCTGGTCTTTTGTGTGCTTTTACCCTACATTATACAGATTTTACGCGGGAGACCAACGTTTCTCAAACTGGGGGTCCCGAGCCAGAAGAGGGTTGTATGGGGGGGATGATGCAAGGTTATTGTAGAGGGGTCGTGGTATTGCCACCCTTACTTCTGCACAGCCTTCAGAGCTGGGTGGCCAGAGAGCGGCAGCTGCTGGCCAAGTGCCCACCTCTGACGGCGGCGCCCGGCCAGCAGCAGCACAGAAGAGGGTGGTCATACCATACCATACCATACCATGCTACCCTTACTTCTGCGCTGCTGCGTTCCCAGTTAGGTCAGGACCCCTGCAGTTACACCACCATAACATTTCAGATTTAAATATCTGAAATCATGAAATTTACCATTTTTAAAATCCTACGACCGGGAAACTGACCACAATGGACTCGGAATTTAATAGGGTTCTCCCTATAGCTAATTCTGCTTTCCATATGGGAATATGCTATACCAGTTAGAGACCAGTATAACAGCATCCATTCTAGGGACTGCCTCCATGGAACTACATTGGTGTAAAAAGGCGACCTACAACAAGACCATCACAACCCTAAATGACAGTGACACAAACAAAAATCTGTGTGAGCGGAGCTTAAAATGAAATAAGAGCTTGTCTACAAGGGGACACTCGGAAAAATTAATCCAAGTTAGACAGACATGTAAATTCAAAGTGGATTAGTTAAACTACACTAAACCCCGTGTGGATGCAGTCATTAAGAATGAAAGTGGCCTTAATTCAGATTAGTTTAATTCAATTCCAAAACCTCACTCTCATAATTCACTTCCATAGTGAATTAAACTGAATCAAATTAAGGCCACTTTAATTTACAATGGGAGTGTCCACCCAGTGGTCTAAAGTGATGGCACTAAATTTACACCTTTTGGTTAATTCAGATTAATTTTCCTGAGGGTCCCCATGTAGACACGCCTTAAGTGTCTATGATGAGATCTGCCCCAGTTTGATTAAGACAGTTTGATTTCCTCACGTTTATTCCCCACCCCCCAACATAGTTGCGGCGGGGGGGGGGAGGGGGGGGGGG